TTTAACAAGTAGGGAGGCTATTTTGTACTGTTGACAACTGTCAAGAAGAAATATTTCAGGATTTTTCTAAGCATTATAACAGTTATTTATATATAAAGTGTATTTATATATATATATATATATATATATATATATATATATATATATAACGAAGTAATCTTAAAATATTCTGAAAATCTAATATTTTATTGAATTTTAGTTATTTTGGCATTCAGAAAGCGTTGTTGACGAAATGATAGAAAATTACTAATAAATATTAACTTTACTATAGTTATCACACTTATTTTCTGCTAATGTCGCTTTTGGACATCCATATTTACAAAAATTGCCAGGTTTCTACACGTATAAATAAAATTCAAAATTATTTTTAAAATAGTGAGGGTCGTTGAATTGTAGCGAATTTTCCCACATATGATTAGTAACAACAGATTTAATTTAAAAATAGTAGCATTGACAGTGAAAAATTAATACAGTATTTTAAAAGATTTAAAAATTTATATATTATTCTTATGAAAATCTAAAACAATTCTTGCAAAAATTTATTATTCATCGATTTTTACACGATTTACATTATTCGGACTATTGTCCTCATCTTTGTCGCCATATCAATTACAAAGTTTCAAGGACAATCAGATAAGACCAAACAAACCAATATAGTATCTGTCTATATTAGTTTTATAATACCTAGAAATTCATACACAGATGAACTCTAGGACACATGGCATAGCGGATAAAGGCGCTGGTTAGATCCAGTGAGAGGACCCAAAGAGTGTGAGTTCAATAAAAATGGAGAACCTGGAGAGGGGAATTAACAGGTGATAACTGATAACTGACATCCATTAAAAATGGTACGTGGAACTAAAACAGTCTACCCCAGTAAGCGAAATAAAGGGTTCCGTTCGACATTCCAAACACCTGAAGAAGGCCGGAGCGTGCAACGGCCGAAACGTTGTAATAAATATGGCGAAAAAGATGGGGACAATTGACAGAATAATGTAAATAATGTACATAATACCTCATCTCAGAAATATAGACAGTTATCGATTTTTTGTTTCAAAAGACAGTGCTATCCATAATATATTTGATAAATAAAAGCAATTAAAACATTTTTCTGATCAAATAATGTCTTAGCGTTATTGCATTAATAATTTTACGATACAGAGCAGATTTTCTGTAACTGAGGGTCCTGTTTGACTAAAATCATTTCAAAATTTTAATTCCCCGAGGACTTGTCATTTTCACTAATACAAGCATTAAGCATTACGAAAAAGAATTTCATAAGATTAAATACATGGGAGTTAACAAATGTAAAAGGAATATTCTTATAAAAATTTTCTAATAAAGAAACATTCAAAAAATAATTTAATTCATTTGTGAATATGTTCTGAAAGATTAATAAAAATCCGACACTTATTACATTTTTGCAAGAATTTCTAATTCAATGTTTTTTCACCGCATAAAAAGGCTCAATTTTCCCATTTTAATTTATATTTAACATTTGACGCAAGAAAAACGATATTAGTATTGAATGAATAAAAAAAAAAGATACTTTGGTAATATTCATAGAGATTGTTATTTTTTAAGCATTTCAACCGAATCCAGGCACCAGTGCTGCTAGCACGTAAGTTGTTACAGAGAGTAAGAGCAAGAGTAAAGAGTAAAGAGTAAATGTGTTTGAGTGAATAATATAGAGAAGGACGAGGATCAGGATCAAAGCATATGAAGATATCGATTGACATTACATTTGAATATTATAGCTATCAGGGAAGCAAGTAGGAGAAAGCGAATTCCATTTGCGGCAAGTGTGACAGTTGATGAATTTGTCATTGATGTGTTTTCGACTGTTAGATAAAAAAAAAATGTTTCAATTCTTCTATGCTGAGACCAGGAAATGCACTGTAAATATACTGAAATTATAGGTCTTCCTTGTCAAACGCTTTCATAAACTGCTTCATGAGTCCTAATTTGATACGAGGAGAAGATGGTTTTGTATCTGGGAACTAGCGGATCAGTTATCACATTTTTCTCTCTGATTTTCATTTCAAATCTGACCAGCCATTTTAATGTTGATCTCTGTCTCAACTGTCCAATAAACAAAGGAAGCATTGGAACTTTGCGTCGCCCAAGTTAAAACGTTAAACATTTACAGGTCAAAACAAATCACCCAGTTATGATACAATGAATTTATCTACATTAAAACCTTGATGTGTTCATTCTTTTCTTTCAGCTTTATTGAGTTTCCAGTTGGTATCTTTGGTGTTGTTCAATAAACACATTTTAAGCTACAGTCTGTGATATCAATGAATAACATCTCTGAATTTGCATCCTCGTCCTGAATAACAACATACGGCAAAATTCCTTCGATATCTTTACAATATACAAGTTCCTTGGTTTGAAGTAGTAGATAGATTCAGTATCTCTTTTGCGATAAAATGTAACATTTGTTCTTTATTTAAGGAGGATTTTCTCCATCAATTTTCAATCAGCGAAACATTTATTCTGCCGATTCAATTGATAGACTCAAGCCTGTGATTATGTCGTTCAGTTCTTCTTGATCACACAGTGTCAGTTCAGATGATATTTCCTCAAAATCGTGGTCATTGTCATTCTCGCACACGTCAACAAAATCATTCGCACCATCTTGGTCCGATTCTTAAATGTCACTAGACGTAAAGACTTTGAAGAGAGGAATCAAATTTTCATCGAAGTGTGGTACAAATCTGAGATTTGATTTCAGAGAAGGATAGTTCACAGATTTTTCTTTCTTCTTGTTGATGCCAGCAATATCAATTATGCAGAACTGATATTCGCCGATGTGATTTTGTAACGCGCGCCAAATCCTCGGAATGCCAAACCTAAGTTCACAAACACTTATTCCTCAAATACTCTTAGTCCACTGGCGCATGTGTTCTTGACATATTTTCTAGATAATATATGGTACCCTCAATTTGACCTGGTTTCCTAGCTTCATTTCAGTGTAGGCATGATAAGCTTTTCTGACAATAAACCATTGATCGGTTTTTTGTTATTCGTTGTTTTTAACTTGTCACATATACATCAGTAGAAACGGGCGCCCCGGGGTGGTGTAATGGTTAGCAAGCGTGTCTCGCTAGAACAGTTACGACTGATTAGTGAGTTCGATTCTCACTAATTACCCCATAATTTCGGCCTTGGGCCACATCTAAGCTACGCATAGAAAATCACTATATATCTGTAGAAACCGACTCCTCGAGGCGGTGTAATGGTTAGCATGCTTGTCTCGCTAGAACAATTAGTAGTGAGTTCGATTCTCACTAAGTACCCGATACATTCGGCTTTCTGCCACATCTAAGCTACGCTTGGAAAATCACTTTATATCAGTAGAAATTGGGATTGTTTCTACATCCTCATTGTCTTGGTATTATGGTCTAGAAATAAAACAATATGTGACAATAAAATTGTATTCGGATACTAAGTAATATAATGCTTTATTTTGTCCTCAATTCTTATTCAATCAACTAAGATATTTTTCGTATTGTCTTTATCCATATGATCCTTTTACAGATATATTCTATCTCAATTGTTACACACACTTACTTCAGTCCAAAACCAGGGTTTAAAATTATTTGAATAATTTAAATTATAGCAATTCCTGATTATCTAATAACTTAATATTTAACCAATAGAGATTGACACAATAAACAGTAAATATTTGGTACTGCTACCCACAATGCCTCATTGACAAGGATATATAAATAGCCAAGCCACCACTATATACCACTAAATAATCACTACTTGGAGTGATGTACCTTCAAAAATCTTCCATCTCATTAAATTATTTTGAACATTAGATCGTATGGTTTTGCGAGATAATATATGTATAAATAAAATTTTTTGCCGTTGCTTTGATAAAGTCCTTGAAGAAATGAAACGCATCGTCCTAGTTACTTATTGAAATTTATAATCCTGGATATGACGCTAAACTTCATCCGACAAGAAGGCCACTGATCGAGAGATTAGAGGTTTTCAGGGGTCAAGCTCAGGGTGGTAGCTCCTGTTATGGTTCCAGCTGATTTTTGATTGTTGCTTTACTCAGAACATGTAGTAATACATTTCATAGCGAAATGACAATCAATACAGCGCTAATGTAAAGGAAATACGTTTTATTATAAAATTATCATCAATAAATTCAATCATCTGCAAAGTATTCATCTAAAAAGAATATACGTTTGCCCTGACAGTATTATCTATCTATCTATCTATCTATCTATCTATCTATCTATCTATCTATCTATCTATCTATCTCATTGTCTGTGATAATCTATCTATCTATCTATCTATCTGTCTGTCTGTCTCATTGATAATCTATCTATCTATTGTCTGTGATCTATCTATCTATCTATCTATCTGTCTGTCTCATTGTCTTATCTATCTATCTATCTATCTATCATCTATCTATCTGTCCGTCTCATTGTCCGTAATAATTTATCTATCTCATTGTCTGTGATAATCTATCTATCTATCTATCTATCTATCTATCTATCTATCTATCTATCTGTCTGTCTGTCCGTCCGTCTCATTGTCCGTAATAATTTATCTATCTCATTGTCTGTGTTAATCTATCTATCTATCTATCTATCTATCTATCTATCTATTTGCCTGTCTGTCTCATTGTCTGTGATTATCTATCTATCTATCTATCTATCTATCTATCTATCTATCTATCTATCGCTTCATATTACTGTTTTTCAGTTCAATCTCGTCTCAATCTGATAATATCTAATGCTGTTTCTTTATCCCCAGACCAAACCGTATTATAGTTTTCTATGTGCCTGGTTAATAATTGTTGATATTTTACGTTTTTCGAGCAGACAATATAAGAAGGCGTTCGAACGTCTTATTTACGTGTCATCATCAGAGACATATGAGCAAACTCATTTACGCGCCTGTTCATTTTTGTTCCCTAAAATATATATATTAAAGAGTGCATATCAACATAATCACCCACACGCACACGCTTTTTATGAAGAGAGGGTTATGAACCCCAAATAAATAAGCTGGACATGATGCTGGTATTTCGAGCGGTTCAGTAAATTAACCTTAGTGATAGAAAGTGTACTAATCATATTTTTAAAGATGTAAATAATGAAGTTGATAGGAAAATCTTTGAGAATAAAATCAGTGATGAAGAAGCATGATTTTTCAACAAAGAAAATATCTTCATATAATCGATCCAATGGTTTTGACATTAATCGAACTACAAATTAGGGTGTCAGGACGTGATGTTTTATGGCATATTAAAAACATTCATCTAGGCAGCAAATGTTCATTCAGATACGTTTTCTTACAAGTAAGCCACAGTATATGGATATAATGATTTGATCAGATATTTTTATTTGTCGGCGGTTTAGTTTATGCATCTTGATGTTGAAGGAGTTAACGAATTGTTCACAGTTCGTGTTAAACTTTATCATTCTGCATGTAACTTCATGTAAAAAAGTGTATCTTGCCCTAGAAGGTGACTTGTCCTTGAATTTCATAGTTGTGTTGTCATATCCTGCTATGGCAACAGAAAATTCCTTTGAGTGAAATTAACAATAAGGTTACTGCAATAGGCTTTGAAAACGAATCCAGTGAAAAGGGAAGTAATATTAAAAATTCAGAATGCTAAAGTTTTTTAATGCTCCACCTTTTCAACTGGCTTTGCTCATTATCAACAAATGAGGAAGTAAAATGTAATTCAAAGTCTGTGTATTTTTTTCTTTACATTTATTTGGATTCCTAGTTTTGAAGGTTTGTGTTGTCAACTGATCATAATGCAGTGCCGATTGTGAGAAATTAATTGCATATTCGAATGCCTATTCTCGAAACAAAGTTATTTTATTGTTTGTTAGCATTTAAATTCATAGAATCACACACACACACACACAAAAAAAAACAGTGTTGCAAAACACACAATATATCAAGTGCTAATCTTCCAATTGGGGAAAATCTCGAATGACGGGGAAATTAAATTTCCAATTCCGAAGACTTAGATGCGATCGAACGGTGATCTCTGGTACCGGAGTTAATGGTATAACTACTACGCTTAAAAATAATCCCAACTCAATCCGATATACGTAAACAGATTGATAGCTGGCATCCTCTTTTCGAATATGGCCATCGCAAAATATTGCAAGATCCAATAGTAACTTATAAAATAAAGCATTGACTGTGCATGGAATTGTACAAATGAGCAAGGGTCTGGCGATGTATCAATATGATTCTTTATGCAACATTATTTAATGCTATCAAGTTGCAGGTGTCTTTCTCCGAATTAGATGAGTTGACCAAGGCGAATCTGTTCAAAATGTTCAGTGGTTTTACCATGTGTATGGACACCAATCAAGATATACTTTTTACATCTCCACGCCTTTTATGTCTATGCTAGATGACCATCGATCTCAAGAAAGAGTTCAACCGCCTCTTAAGAAGCATTTATTTTAATCCTTTTTGGTGATTAGTCAGCCACCTGAAAAGCCTGGTAAAGGAAACGGTTTAATCGCCGATAAACAAACCATGCGCCAAGTTACATAGGGTTACATAGTACAAGTAGAAAACATAGTGTGATCTGACTATATATGCAAATAGTAACACACACACACACACAAACACACTTATCTCACACATATACGCACAAACGCGAGTGCGCGGACACACACACACACACACACACACACACACACACACATATATATATATGCATGCGCACTGGGCGTATCAAATATATTTTAGAAACTTTTAGCGCGGCTTCATCACACTAAAAAAAGAGAAAAGTCCATATCAGCATATGTCCGCAAATCCTTCGTTTTTTACTTATTGATTTCAAATTCAAGTTTACGGTAGATGGCGCTGTGTTGCATGTAGATTTGGTTACATTTGTCATTCGTGTACATTTATGGCTAGTCTGTCTTCAACGTTTAATGTGTATAGCAGTGAGTTAACTGAGAAGTGTTCTATTTAACAATGTCAGGATTTTCATCAGCAGATATGATTTCACAGCCGGGCGAATGGTAATAATAGTTAGATGGGCATTTTACTTTATTTTGGTGCCAGGAACTTACACCAAAATTTGTAAAAGCATTTTTTGAATTGTATCTTGGATTGTACATTTAACAGAGCCGTAAACTTTAAACTTAATAAATCAAAAACGAAAGGTTTGTAGACATATAATTGTATGGACTTTTATCCTTGTTTTGGTTTGAGGAATACGACTCCAAAGCTTGTAAAAAAGTAATTTGGATAGACCCTATATATATATATATATATATATATATATATATATATATATATATATATATATACAGAGAGAGAGAGAGAGAGAGAGAGAGAGAGAGAGGTAAGATGAGAACAATTGAGTAAAATTCAACATTTAACATTTAATTTAAAAAGAAAGCTCAATACAAAGTAGAGCAATATTCTTTATTTTAGTCTATTATATTACATCAAAAAACTTGGCGATGTTGACATGTTTTTTGATGTAATATCTATATATATATATATATATATATATATATATATATATATATATCATTTCTATATTATCTTATGTCTTAGTCTATGTAGATCACTTTCTGTGCCTTAGAATTATCAGTTTAATTTCAATAACCATTGATCTATATGCCCTTCTGCGTTATTTTCATTTGTTTGTTGCATATTAGCAAGATGTTTTTCATTCTTATTATGTTTGTGTGTATGTGGGTGCGTGTGCGCACGCGAGTTCGTCTGATTTGGACGAAATCGGCCGAAGGATGTTATTCTTTTCTAGTGTGTTGTAGTGTTAACATTTTCTGCTCTTTCTTCGTTTTCATGGTCATTCCGGCTGTATAACCATGGCGCAGACACATGTTCAGGCATTTTCGAGCGTATTTGGCGCTCAAACAACCCAATAGTAGTTTATACTATAAATATATCTAATGTAGGCAAATAATTATTTGAAAAAAGGATATATTCTGCCATGTACAGCAGTTTGAACAATACCGCTCAAATCCTCCGTCACAATGACTTGTGACTTCTGAGTAGCAGATCTGTTGATGGCTAGCGAACAATACCCTATACCAAATTTTACTCACAAAACTTTGGCCAATACATATTATGTTTTACAGGGACTTTATACCTAATGGTCTCGCACGTAGGCATCGCTCCCCACTGGCCGATATAATCAAGAAGCTATATTCCTGAAAAATCAAGCACAGTTACATTCTAACCGGGATAGAACGTTCACTTTACAACATGCTTACGTACACACACACACACGCACACAAACACACACACACACACACAAACACACACACACACACACACACACGTGTGAGTGTCCATCTTTTCTCCCAGATATGTAGTAAATAATAGGGCGTATCAGTAAATCATTATTAGCTACCCTAATTTCTTACAATATGTTATGGCCTTAAATAAAATGCGAAAGGTTTATAAGCCGTAGAATGTGTTATGGGTTAAAATACCCAATACCAGTGCTAGAGCTTATGTAAATCTAAAAGTGGACATTGAAGTCAGCAACCAGAGGCAACACTTTGTTTTAATGTTAAACTGAATTGCAATTGACATGCGTTTCGAATGTCGCCGCCGGGTGTTGACTTTTATATTTTTGTAATATGGTAATGAACATGGAACTGTTCGTCTAAATACATGTATGTTAAATTTAGAAACATCACGCAGTTTTTTTTCATTGCACTCAGGAAGCATAACATCGCATTTTAAGAAATCTATATTTTTTTCTTAGCCAATTTCGCAAGAAGAGTCGTCTCCAGGAAGCCGCTATTCGAACGACGTTATGTCATCACAATTTATAGCTTCATATTTCCAATGAATATGGCGCCAATATGTGGCAAATCTGTTTCAACTTAGTGCCTTTCTGGGCCTGGAATCGCGATTCATTGAAATGTGGAATATAAAAGTGCCAAATCATAAATAACAATGTAAAATCAGCTGCGTGAAGTGAAGAAAAAACTGAGATTGATCGACTTGTAGCACCGAAGAGAATAAAATTGAGTCTATGTTGTGAGATAAGAATCTGTTTTCAACTATTGTGTAGCAAGATCACATTGTTAAACCATGCATACATCCTGCTTCAACTTGACGCATATCTATACACAAGGATCATACACACACACATACACACAAACACACTTCATCCTCGGTATGACGATAAACTACACCCGGCAGCAAGACCTCTGATCGAGAAATGGGGGTTTTGAGGAGCGTGGAACCACATTTAATTTTTGTTGTTCCCAGGTCCACGCTGATATGGTGTGGTAGCACCAGTTAGGGTCCCAGCTATGGGTAAACAGTGACCCCCACCAAACATAAATCAACAGTACATTTTTATAATAAACTGACCAATAATGCATGCTTATATCAAAATGACAAACAATGCAACACTAAAATATAAAAAAATATATTTTTATAGTAAAATTGACAAGAATGCATTTTATGATCTACAAAATATATATCTAAAAAACATATCGTTATTGTGAACGTATAACATTATGTACAAAATATCTGCAGTTGAAAGCATAATATTAAGTAGAAAATATTTAGATTTCAGCATTAAATAACCCAGAGAGTTTGATATACCGCCAAACAAAATCAAACGAACAACCGACAGGAAAGAACTTTTCATGACATTAGTTCATATAAAATCCTACAATTTCTTAGATCAAACGGTATTACATAATATAACTTCAACATAACTATAACATAAAAACACACATTTCATCCCCTCTAGTAATCAGCTCCACACAAATATGTATATGCACAAAAGCTGAGTATCATTTACCATGTATTCAATTGAGACAGCAGATTAACGTATATCATAATTTTATTACTTCAAAGCTCCCAAGTAAATTAAATGTCGGCATTAAATGACCCATTAAGTGTTGATATGCCGTTAAACAAACATATCAATCAATTAATAAAACACATACACACACGTAGATATAAGCAAACATACGCTTATAGATACATTCACACAGCTTGGATACAAGTATATCGATAACTATTTCAGTGAAATAGAGGCAAATAAGGATATAAGTTTCCTTATAAGGAAACATTCAGCATTCATTGACCGAGCAGCAAGTAAAGTCCTACTGTCAGTTGCAGTTTATAACGTAATTCTCTTAAAACAATTTTCTAGAAAAATAGGTTTCTCAAATCCAATAATTGTTATTTATCTTTCCAATAATGATGGAGGCTTCCTTTTGCCTGAAGTACTGTGGAATGTCAATATCTTGAGTTTGGCATTATTATCTTTTCTAGTAACGGGTGTTTATCATTTTCGCTTTTGCCTTTGTTAGAAAATTGTAAGGATGTATGTTAGTTACGACAGTTTTTGCTTGTGATTCTATAGCGCCAGATATCAAGGTTCGTAGAAGGATCGTCTTTTCCAAGACTCATAGATTTCACATGCTCAAAGCCATTGTTAATCTTTGAGCTTACAAAACGTTTGTATACAACTGGCAGCTTTGATATTTCTGAACAGGTTAGGCACCATTTCTCTGTAAAATTTGTTTACTGTTGCTTACTGTTGTGATTTTTATTATTTGTTTTATGTTCTCAGTGTAAGTCGTGGCTGATTTTTGTTGAATATTATTCAACATTCAAAACAAACGTTAAAATATTACAATAGATTGCCCACAATGCAATACGATAAACTATGCACAGTGCAACAAAGACCTGTATATATAAATAGTCTAGCAAAAATACAACGCACAGGGCCTGACGATTACGTTTAACATGAAACAGAGTGGGTTGACGTCTGTGTCCACTTTTACATTTACATACACTCTATCCACGATATTGAGCATTTAATCCATAAATTTAGCATAACATAAATCTATATTTTATTACGAATATATATATATATATATATATATATATATATATATATATAATATATATAATAAAGGTATTCCGTATGGATAAATTCAGGGAGAATGGAAGTTCAATGTTACTAACAGAGCAAGTGATAATTAATTAACAAGTACTAATTAATTAACAAATGGGAGATTTCAAAAAGCCATGGTAATATTTTATTTCGCAAAATCGATAATTCGATTTCGCTTCATCAAGACAATGAATCTTTCTTTGTTTTGAAACCGCCAGGTCTGACGAAGCGAAAACGAAATTTTGCGAAATAAAATATTACCATGGGTTTCTGAAATGTCCTATTTTTTAATTATATATATATATATATATATATATATATATATATATATATATATATTGAACTAAAATTAAAATCTTCAAACACACGGGTTGTATATGAATATTCATTCGTTCTTATTATTATTTCAGTTAGATTCCTCGATTAGTTTCGGCAAACATGGCCATCATCAGGAGAAAAAATATTTTACTTGCTGGTAGAAATGAACTATAGAAATGAATGTCTTGATGTAGAAAATGAACTTTTGTCTGTAGTTTTCATAATTTTTTTTTAGTTTTTTAACATGAATTTTGGTCAGTACTTATATTGGTGAAACAGTCTCTTAAGTTGTTATTTAAGATAAGAGCTGAATGGATTCATGCTGCTCTGAATTCCCTACATATATATATATCTATATATATATATAGTGAAAATTATATATATAATGTAAGGTAATTGAATAAATAAAAATATAATCAGTAATTTGGAAACTTACCATAATGTAGTCTAAAATTCACTAAACAATAAATAATTCCATACACATGCTTTGCTATCACGGAAAATGGCCTTATACAAACAATCGGACAATTTCTGATTCGATTATCTCACATAATAACATCTTTAAGAAAGACAAAATATAAAAACACTGTTGACATCATAGCGTAACCCTGAAGAGAGGAATTTTATCTATGAATATCGGAATTTGAATATAATATATTGAAATTTTCATTCGAATTACAAAATCAAACCTGTACAGAAATTCAAATATCTGGGAAGTTTTTTATCAGGACAAAATCTGCCACACTAAGATCCGAACATCTATTGGAATAGCCAAAAATTCACTCCAAAAGCTAAGCAGAGTATTAAGAGGTAGGAAAATTTCGTTCGAAACAATGAAAATAGGACTGATATCTGTCCTACTGGACGGCATGAATAATGGACAATCTCCTCAACGATGAAGAAAAGACTTGAAGCAACAGTAATGTAGTTCTGCAGAAAGATGCTGAGGATACCATGGACTGAACATGTGAGCAACGGCGAGGTTTTGGAGAAAAAGGAAACAAAAACGAATCTTATACTTAACATCACCAAAAAGCCGATGAAATTTCTGGTGGTTGTTATGAGGAACATAGGCTTGGAAATGTGATACTCACAGGACAGACTGAAGGAAAGAAGGATAAAGGGAAGCAGCCTGATGAGCTTGGGTAAATGGATGGTAGAACACGTTTTAGGAGAAATAACAGAAAGACAAAACTTATTAAGAGCTAGAATGGACAGCAAGAAGTGGAAGGCCATGATCGCCTACCCCTTGAAGGGACACGACACAGAAAATAATTCAATTTCTGATTTATATTTAAATCGCTACAATTCCAAGATATTATGAGAGTCACTTCCAAGAAACAAGGATTGAGTGAGTGGATATTTTTAAGTGGTTAATATATAGCACAGGTCCAGACCCACTCCATCTCGATCTCCCTCTTGGAACTAACGATAAATGAGTCTAGAGTGGCTGCTGGGGCGTGAGTTCCAGTGAGTGACCAGTAAAAGGTCGGTCGCACATGTACGTCCAAATGGTTACAGTTCAGTGTTTTTTCCCTTGTATTCTGTTCTGCTTCACAACGCTTGAACAAACACCCACCCACCCAAACACACACACACACACACACACACATATATATATATATATATATATATATATATATATACGAGTGTTTATATATATATATATATATATATATATATATATATATATATATATATATATATGAGATAGCTTTGCAGTTAAACATATCAGGGACTGGGCATCACTCCAGATGGCATGGCTAAAGTTTTTTCTCGCGGTCTTCTTTATGAAATCGATTTCATATCTTGATGTTGCATTTCGTTGTCTGGAGAGCCTTCTACAGGATACTATGCAACTCTTTAATGACTTTAGCTATCTGTTTACACACACACACACACACACACACACACACACACAGATAGATAGATAGATAGATAGATATGAACAGACTGAGATAGATAGATAGATAGATAGAACAGACTAGATAGATAGATAGATAGATAGATAGATAGAACAGACTGAGATAGATAGATAGATAGATAATATGAACAGACTGAGATAGATACAGACTGAGATAGATAGATAGATAGATAGATAGATAGATAGATAGATAGATAGATAGATATGAACAGACTAGATAGATAGATGATAGATAGATAGATAGATATGAACAGACTGAGATAGATAGATAGATAGATAGATAGATGAATGAATAACAGACTGAGATAGATAGATAGATAGATGAATAGATATGAACAGACTGAGATAGATAGATAGATAGATAGATAGATAGATAGATAGATATGAACAGACTGAGATAGATAGATAGATAGATAGATAGATAGAACAGACTGAGATAGATAGATAGATAGATAGATAGATAGATGAGATGAGATAGATATACCGGTGCCGTCATAACTGACGGCAAGAAGGAATGTACTATAAGTAATATGTATTATATTGTAAGTAATTTAAGTTTAATCCAAGTACAATTTTGTAATTTTAAATAGTTCCTTGTTAACGTTAATAATTGGACAATGTAGAATTTAAAAGCACCTCAGTGTGTACTATCCCCATGGATGTGCACTGCTGATGAGTCCTAAATATAGGACGAAACGGCCGTCCAGTGCTTTCTGCATTCTGTTGAGGTTTCTTCATAGACTCGATGAATTACTTAATTATAATTATCTCAAATCATCCTTAATTTCTATCATTTGTATATTCTTGCTTGAACCGACTTCTAATGGAGCGATTGGGGATAGTAGTCGTGGCTCTTGGGAGAACAGTCCTATGGGTAAGGGGGACTCGGATGAGTTCCACCACAGGACATGTGAACGAGCGGCGCAATATCGAATCTAATTCATTACCTCTTCCTCAACGAGGCCCGTTGGTACAGTTGGTATGACGTTTACCTCATATCGTAACTGTCCTGGTTTCAATTCTCGGTAGTGGATGCGCACTGCTGATGAGTCTCAAATCCCAAGAACGGTACGGCCGTCCGGTACTTTCTGCATTCTGTTGAGGTTTCTTCTTAACTCAATGAATTACTTAATTATATATATATATATATATATATATATATTGAAGGGTAATATGTCTCTCTGTGTTTTTGAGTGTTTGTCCATTCATGTCAAATTGTAATGTTTGTCCCATTTATTTGCAACGGTTTTTATAGTATTCATTGTCTTTATTATTACCATGACGGCCTCTAGTCGTAGGGTCATTTCATAGTTGAACACCTGACCATTTCATGTATTATTTCACGCGTAGCTTGTTATGGTTAGTAGACCAAACCACAGTCGATATCCTAATTTATACAGTGAAGTAAGCCATGTACCCGACGTTGCCGTGTCAACACCGCACTGATTACTTACGTGACTATGCAGGCCACTAACTCTTTTTGTGCTAGATGGTCTGGTTGTTAACCGTACAAGTGGGTTCATCTGCCTTTTGACAGTCCTCTTTTTTAATCCGGCTTGTGACAATCCACTCTCCTCACCAAAAATGTCTGCTGGGAGAACCATTTTAGTCGTTGATAACTCGACTCTGTAGGAGGTAGTAAATAGTTACATGGAACTTGTTAGTTACAAATTAATCTGATAATAGAAAAAAAAAAAATCATGACTTAATTAGTTTAGTTTTGTTCTTCGTTAACATCATACAAACAAATAAAACTATTAATAATATTCAAAATTAGGTACCTCCACTAATTTTCGATGCCTTGGAGTAAAATGAATACTTATAAATAATAATTCTTTCTTGAAGCTTTCATTTTAGATTTAACTGAAAGCTGAACGATTAAATTTAATATTTCTAGTAAGCAAAATATTTTGGCGTCTATCAAACAGAAGTTATATTGAGTGAAAACGAAAATTTACATTATTTCTAAAATAGCTGATTAACATCCTTTTTAATGGTCTTAGTCGTCATTCATCGCATTTAATTCTCTTTGTTAAAAAATCTTACAAAAACAAATTATACTTTTCTGAAACTTTATTTGAGGGATATTAGCTTATTTAAAATACAATTAATCTGATATGAAAAATATTATTTATTTTAAGTTTAAAATAACAGAGAAACGGATTTTCAAACCAAACAGTAGCTGTAATTACATAGTTGTAATCTCTCGACAATCATGTAACAAGTGTTGACGGTTTTATTGTTGTTCTACGGAGACTTTATCTGTCAAATCATAATTTAAGAAAATGACAGGTGAGCCCTTTTTTATATAATTTTTAAGTACTCAGTAATTTTAAAAAGTTTGGACAATATTGTCCATAATCTAATTTCAGGAATGTTACTTCAAATTTATTGTAGGCATGGCTCTTATTTTCTGATAATGTCGTGTATGATTGACCATACATTCAAAAATGGGAACATTAAATAATATTTTACAAATATAAAAAAAACATTAAATTATTTTAAACGTCTTGGTGTAAAATGATTTGTATTAAGCTTTTCAATTTTGGATTAATAAATACAGTTTGTATTTAATAACCATATCACCTAATCGGATGAAAGTAATGCAGAATTTGAAAAAAATTATACATTATAAGTTATTATAATTAAAAAATTACGAAAAAAAATGAAAACAATTTTTGTAAATATTCATTATTAATCAATCTTAGTGTCCTTAAGGAATCTTATTTATAAAAGCAATTAAAAGTTGTTTTTTTTTCTAATAATGTCATAGTTTTATTGCATTTTTTATTTTACGATTCGGGGTAACTTTTAGGGAAATGGTTATTAGTTTGAAAATAATGATGATTTACATTCTCCAAGCAATCCTGCTTTTAACTAAAAAATATTTATTTTCGGATGAAAATTTAATTTCTCGAAATTTAAATTTAAATGGGATGGTGGTGAGGGGTGCTAAAATATGTAAAGAAAATATATTTTTACCAAGCTTTTCTAAAAGCAAAATTTCAAAAATAATTTAATTCATTTATGCATAAGTTCTAAAAGCTTCCTTAAAATCAAGTAATTATTTAATTTTTGCAAGAATTTCCAAATCAATTTTTTTTCAACTGCAAAAGAAGCTAAAAGATGAATCTTACTTATTATAAAACGCAGATTGTGTGTGTGTGTGTGTACGTTTATATATTGGATCGGATATCCTACATTTTTTAACCGATTTCAACAAAACTTCACAGGACTACGTAAAATTACCTTGCGGTGGTTCTAACAGCGCCAAAAATTGGAAAAAACACAATTGTTTTTGTACGAAGTCAGTTTGAAAACACGATTAAGTCGCCAGAATGAAAGGGAGACAACTCATATCGAGTTATACTTATTATAAAACCCAGGTTGTGTGTGTGTGTGTGTGTGTGTGTGTGTGTGTGTTCGTTTATATATGGGATCGGATTACCTACATTTTTCAACTGATTACAACAAAACTTCATTGGGGGGGCAGGTAGTGTTTCTTATTGTCTTGCACACTTTTTTCTTTATTTTTTCATTCAGAATGCTGTAAAAATTCCATTTACAAGACAATTGTTTATAATAAAATTCTATTCAATCGGTAGACTCATAACGATTGAAAACAATGTTTTTGTTTGAGTTTGGTTTTGACCAATTCGTAAAAAAAAAAACAAAAATCAAAAAAAAAACTAATTAAGACATGCGTGTCCGTCAACCTTAAACAATAATCTTTGTTAATTTTATTTTTCAGTCTTCAGTATGGTCGATACTTGATCTATCTCTTACTGTTACATCACCGGGCAATGCCGGGCTCTACTGCTAGTCGTAAATATTACGTCGACCGGTAACGAAAAAAAAAAGAACATTATTGCCAAAAGTGTGGGGCATGCTAGAAAGGATAAAAACATTTAATAAAATATTTTGGTCTTTCCTCATGATAAGAGCTTAAACATTTTGACGATAAACCTTTGTTTGACATTAGGTTTAGAGCCTTTTCTCATCATGCTATGCTGTTTTTTTCAGTGGTACCTATTCTAAATAGTTTTGAATAGTTGAAGCAAAAAAATCATAAGAACATGAACATAAAAATATCAAGTTTATTCTCTTTACCAACATAGTGTCCTTTCCCTTGTTGTATTCCGCTTTTGAATGAAAGCATATATATATATATATATATATATATATATATATAAATATATAAAAGTGAACATTGAAGTCAACACTCAGAAACGACAGGCTGTTTCATGCTAGCCGCAATCGTCAGGCCGTGTGTTGACTTTAATTTTCACTTTATATTTGTATGTACATATGCTCTATCTGATATTGAGCACTTTATCCCATAAATATAGCATATTAAATATATATATATATATATATATATATATATATATATATATATATATATATATATATATATATATATATGGGGAGGACGATATACACATTTTCACCTATCAAAACTTTTTTTTTTAAATGTATTACAGTACAAAAGAAATTTCGTAATGACCATAATCGTGATTTAAATGTTTTCGTAATGACTTTAGTCATAATTGTGATTAAAAATGGTGCTTTAATTTAAGGAAAAAAAGTAATTTACTGAGTCGAATATCTATGATTTAATCGCTATTTTATCCCCAGTAAGTTTACGTCGACGTTTTTACAATTTTTCACTTATCTTACCACATGTTATATTATCACAATATGGGATATTTCATATCAAAACAATAAATACATGAACAAACCAAAAAAATGTAAATGAAACGAAATTAGGAGAAAAATAAATATTTGTATCTTTTTTATTTTCTGTTGTTTGAATTTATATATATATATATATATATATATATATATATATATATATATATATATATACACACACATATATATATATATATTCATGAATTATTCACACAAAAAACAAATGCAAATGTTAATGATTTAATTGGCGAGAAATCCATCGTCGCAAACAATTCAAATAATATACAAAAACCTCCGAATCCGTTATGAATGAAAAGATCCTTGTTCTAATAAATTTCTGCCGTATTAGTTCTTATTTTTACTACAAGCATTCGTCTGTTCCTACAGACATCTTCAGGTATGGAATAGATGTTGTTTTTGTTTTTTCTCTTATTAATAAGAGGACAACGAAAATATATGTATTGTTGTATCCAAAAATGCTATTGGAAATGAGTTATTGTTTTTGGAGCGTGCAATAGCAACGCTGAGTTTGATTTAAAATTTTTTACAGTTGTGCGTTCATGTACAAATATGGTAATAAACGAATTTTTTACTGGTAAATTTTCTGTCAAAGTGGCATGAACTATATCGTTCAATAATTACAGTAATGTCGCACTTATTATCCAAAAGCCGCACTTTGATCAGTTATTTTAATTTCGATAAACGTGCAATCAATTTACAAATTCATGAATTATTCACACAAAAAACAAATGCAAAGGTTAATGATTTAATTGGCGAGAAATCCATCGTCGCAAACAATTC